CACCTGCACTGAATGCGCTCTGACGGGGAGCTTGTAGCAGGTGTGGAGAAACACTTCCTAGTTTAACCACTAGGGGGAGCATGTGCCTCATTCCCCTTCCACCAGTGCTTCTGAGTCTGGACCTGATCCATGGAAGCTTAGCTCCTTTTCAATAGACTCTGCTCTTATTTGGGCCGCCTGGCTTTGCTTTGCTGGTGTTTTAAAGTAGCTGCTCAAACATTTATCTTTCATCTTAGCAGGAGCCTCCTCTGACTCACCCTGACCCACGGCAGTGATGATAGAGGTACTGCCTCGGTTTGTTCGCCCACCAGCTTCTGCAGCTCTGCAGCAGCTCTTGCTTTGATGTAATCCACCCTCTCTTGTTTGATGTGTGTGGTTTTGAATCAAGGGCCGACCACAGAAGCAATGGAAAGCAGGTCCTGGGTTGTCTGGTCATCATAAATATGTCAGTACGCCCTCTTTTATAGTTGTGGTGAGCTCCGTGTCACCATCCTGATGCTGGAGTATCTGGCTGTTGAACAGATGGAGGGCAGGTTTCACGTAGACACTTGGGTAATGCTCCCCAGTGTCACGATTCGGTGTTGGTAGGACCCAAAATGCAGGAACCCAAGATGACACGAGGCAGGAGATGATGTTAAGTAAAATCCTTTTATCAGGATGAGTGAAACAAAAATTTATCCAAAAGGGCTGGAGCCAAAAAACCAATAAATCCAAAAGGCTGAGCAGGAGATCAAAACAGTAGCGACAACACGAGCAAACTGACAGAATTACCACAATGGACCGACACCAGACAAAGACAAGACAGGGCTCAAATAAACAGGGAGGAGTAATTAAGGGAACAGGAAACAGGTGTGTGGAGTGAGGGCTGGAGGGAAGACAGGTGACAATAATTATCTAAATGGGGAAGCAGAACCAAAGGAGGGCAGATAAACACAAAACTGAACTAAAAGACTGAGGGAAGGAGTCACACACACACACACAATCACACCTAAATACACTCACACACACTGAGTTGGGGAATGGACACGCACACACACACACACACAAACACAGAGCTGGGGACAAAGAGACTGGAGCTACAACTGGAGGGGATTGGGATGACCGAATGCCTACAAACAGAAAAAAACATAATTGAGATGCAGACAAAGGACACATGAGGGCGCTATGAGACACAAAAGGGAATCTAGAGAGCGATGGAGGACACCAGGAGGCACAGGAGGGAAAGGGCAGACGCAGACCATGACACCCAGACACAGCATCTGTGAACTCCTTGAGGACTTGTTCGTGGATTCCAGAACCTCCACATCCTGCTGAGATGGGACCAGGTGACTTGTGAGAGAGCTTTCTCTTGTTCGCGCACCCTTTCAATCAGTGCTTGCATAGAGCCCACCTAGTAGGGGTGTCTGTGATCAGCTGATGAGATGCCGGAGGGGGGGTGGGGGGTGGGGGGGGGGGGGGTGATCTGATTGAGCCCTGGCCAGCTCCCATCCTCTCTTCCATGAACTGGAGAACGCAGCTTCATTCTTCCTGCAGATGCTGGCTGCTTGTTCCACCTCTCTTAGTTTCACCCTCCTCTCTGTGTGTTTAAACAAGTAAATGTAAGATTATGTACTTTTTTATATTACACTGTGTTCAGGACTAGTACAATGTACTAATTACTTTTACTAAATAATTTATATGTAAATAAATGACATTATAGATTTTACTATTACACGTGTCAAATAATGTGACTGACATTTTTATCCCAGAACTTTGATTTCATCTGTGTTTAGTTTATATAATTATAACTTTTAGCTTCTATGTCAACTCGCTAACTGAATGTATTCGTATCCATTTCAAATAGATTTAGATTGAAGCACTCACCAACGGCCAGATGAAGGCGGTGGACCAAACCCTGTAGGAGTGTCGTGTCACTCAGCTGCAGGGAAAGGATGTTGTTGGTGCGTCGTCTGCAGTGACAGAGACAAGGCGATCCTCTTGCAGTCCCCATGATTCCAGAGCTTCTCTGACTCCTTTGGCTAGCATTTCTCCAGATTAGTCTTTGGGTAAGTAACTTGTCTGTGAACACCAGCTGCACAGGTTCCAATCTTGGTCGATGAAGTGTGTCGTCAGGCTCATATGTGGATGTGTCGTTCGACTGGTGCTTTAACGTGGAACATCCCGTTTTGAATCTCTGCCTCTACTTTGGCCCAACATGCGTCACAATAATCAGGTAACAGAACGTTGGTCGTGTGTTTTTGATTGGGCATCTTGTTTCTTGGATCGAGTGTTTGCACCAACTCACCAGTGTTGGGAGTAATGCGGTACAAAAGTAATTAATTACTGTAATGCATTGCTTTTTGCTGTAAGGTGGTAATGTAAGGCATTACAGGGAAAGAAAATGGTAATATTTACTCGGTACAAGTGTCAGTAACGCTGTAATTACAACGCATTTTTAAACCCAGATTCAAGATGTGGGTTTCCTGAAAATTCAAATTGCGGGAAGCCTGAAAAAAGATCCAGTATCCACATATATGACGTCATTTATGGACTCAGCTTTGCGGGCGTTCTATGAGCAGAGAGGACGCAGCGGTGACGGCTCAAATACTCCAGCTGCGTCCTGCGCGCGGCTGCTGTTATATTCACAAAATCGCTCCACCAAAACTCGTTTATATCAGCCCATATTCTCTGGTACTTCATGTACTTTTCAGCTGAGTTCATAATCTGTGCCCCGGTGATTTCAACTCATTGCTGCAGGAGCGCAGCGCATATGATGCTTTTTTATTTTTTATTTTTATTTTATTTTTTTTTGCATTCGGTAGATCCCTTTGGCTGATTAGTTAGAAAGTAGGAAATCTAGGAAACGGGTTTTCTGGAAGACGGAGAAAACATGCAGCATGCAGGAAGGTTAGAGGGAGAAAGGGCAGGAAATTATTCAAATAAAATCAAGAAAACAAAACAAAGTGCTTGAAAAGAAAAAAGTAGGTAGATTTATCCCCAATACACATTTTTACCAGTGAAAAACAATAATATATAATCATTTAATATTTATACATGTGATAGAATCAGATCACCCCAGAAGTCAGTCCCACATCCAGGGCCGTATCAAGGCATTTGTGGACCAAGGCAAATATAGGCTTGGAGCCCCCACCACCTCACTCCCTGCTCAGTTAATATAAGATGGCAGCGTGCTGAGAGTACAGATTGTTGTTGCTTTTATTTAATAAACAATCATTTTAAAGCACTGTTATTATATCTGACTGTTTTTAACAGCAATCCTAGCTCAGACACCACATCACCTTCCACATATATGTCATGAGCTCACTGAGCGTCACATGACCAGATTCATACTGAAGTTGTTTTGGTGAAAGTAACTTAAAGTAATGCCAAAGTAGTGTAATGCCTTACATTTTAAAATCAGTAATATTGTAATGTAATGAATTACTTTAAAATGAGGTAACAAGTAATAAATAATGCATTACAGTTTTGAAGTAACTTGCCCAACACTGCAACTCACAAAACCCACATTTCTTGCCCGTGTAGATTGGAACCATATCTTTGCAGATGCACGTGGCAACTGCAGTGATGATCTCCTTCCATCTCCAGGAGCTGTGGTTACATGATGAGCCACGGGTAAACGCCTGCTGTAACAGCTTTCGCTTGTTGAATATCTCTGTATTCTTCTTCATGGTTTTTGTGCTGGTGATAAAATAAATTTGTAGTGTTGGAGGTTACTGTTGGTCCCGGGAGGCGTCATTTGGAATCCTAGGATGTCCAAGGAAGGTCCCGCCTTTCTCACCTCTGATTGGCTGGAAGGGCTTGCCTACGATTGGCTATTTCATGCAAGAGGAAACTGCAGGTTTTTATGTTTACAGCCAGATCTTGAGGAGGTTTTTTTGAAGAAAATGTGAACTCATCTCTTTAATAAACAACCTTTCCTGTTTTGCAACAAACTGATTTCAGTTTCTTTCATAAAAGAACCTGAAAAACATCAAAATGCCTCATCAAAAGTTTAGAAATATAGTATTAAATTCACTTTTATAAACTACATTCTTGACTATGAATTATTATGAAGTGTGTGTTTCCCTGGCAGTCCAAAGAAGCCAAGTTCACATTAAATCAAATATTGAAAGACCAATAAGGTTGATAATTCATATTTATATGGAATATCACATCTTATTGATCATTGAAAATCCAACCATGCATTTTTTTATGCATTAAATTACTCTTATTTATTTCTTTATTTATTCCTTGTCTCCTAAAGTGCGCTGCTTTTTTTCACGGCAGTACTGAAACTCATTCTGTTGCCATTTTAATAGCAGTATTACGGTAATACTGCCCACGCCTAATCACCGCCATCATCATCAGCATCACCGTTGCCATCATCGTCACCACTTGGTGGTAATTATGAAACCAGTATGTCACCAGTTCTCACCTCTGGTACAGGAATGAGTTGAGCAGAGTGAAGAGCAGCAGAGGCAGCTGGGAAAGCAACGCCATCCAGTTGCCAAAATTATATTCTTTGGTGATAGCAGTGGCGTTAGACTCTCTCAGGCGATCGTTGAAATACTTTAAGATATAAAAAGTTAAAAGACTTAGTAACTTTAGATAATGCCATTTAACAAAGGAGATGAGGACTAAATAATCAAACCTGTGAATCCGTTATGAAGAAGTTCCAGGGCAGCAGAGTTTCTACCCCCAGAACAAAGACGACAACGGCTACAGCCTGACCCCTTTGGGAACAAAAGGCTGCGATCAGGAGGAGAATACATACATTTATTTATCTTCAAACTGTAGAAGACATGGGCCTCACCGGTCAGAAGGAGGGGGACTCGGTTTCTTTTCATTCCACATTCTGCTGCTTCTCTGACGCTCCTGCAGAAAGACGAGTCTGTAAGCAAACTGCTCTGGTGAACAAGAGCTCACGTAGTATTCCACCTAATCAAATCATGCCTGTCTTATGACTTTTGTTGTCCATCTCAGCAGCATTGTGTTTTTACTCTGCACAAAGTGTAATTTATAATAAATACTCATATGAGCATCGTGCTGCGATAGGAACACAGCCGACTGGTGACTGAGGCCCTAAACTCAGAAAATATTTGATAAAAATTATTCTAATGACTTCATTAGAAGTCGCCCCTCAGTGGCCATGGAATAGAATGCAGCTTAAACACTGCTTTTCTACTGATGTGCAAAACACTTTTATTAGAATAGAAAAGACTAAACTTTATTGTTCCCACAGTGGGGAAATTCACTCGTTAAAGAGCAAGTCACCCCAAATAAACATTTTTTTTGCTGATAAACTAAATAAACGAGTGTCTAATCGTGCTGCAGACACGTGTCGTCAATAATTTGGCACTTTAGTGCATCTTAGTTCAAATTTAAATATTCTGCCTAAAACTGGCAGTGTTGTGCCGTTGTCAGGTAAAAACTCTGCACTGTATTTTAATTTAAATCTGCCACCGCTATTGGCTAAGAAGTATGCTATGATGTAAACTGGTACATTATGATGTCACAATGCTGTCGTGAGCCTGAGTGTGTGTGTGTTTGTTAGCGGCTCCGCCCTCTCGGTCTACCAGGCAACAGCATTTGTTGCATTTTTCAAACATGAAGTGGGAGTGGAGTTAGACTCTGGTAGGGGGTGACTTGCTCTTTAAGGCAACACATACACTTAGAGAATAAATAATACTTATACAGGTAAATACAAAAAGGCTGTAGGCTATTATTGTAACCTTCAGCAATTACATTTGTTTTGTTATTGTAACGCTCTTGAAAAGTAACACAAATATTTGTAACTAGTTCTTAGGGGAAATAGATTTGATCAAGACTGTCATATGTTAATTGTTTAGGAGACCCAATTCATTTGACCTGTGTGTGTATGTGTGTGTGTGTGTGTGTGTGTGTGTGTGTGTGTGTGTGTGTGTGTGTGTGATTCCAAACGGAACTAAAAACATCATTCCATCGTAAATGGCGGGATTGTTTAATAGAGTTTTACGGTAATTGGCAACAATTTGGACCGCTCTGAAGATCACAAGAGCTGTGTTCAAGTTTTTTTATGCATCATAAAAATGCTTCAGAAATTTATTTTAACCTTATTGTGAAATCCCACACAAGCATTTCTTTTGCTTTTTGCGTTAGCTTAGCTTGTTGGTTTCCTGCAGAGCTTTTTTTTTTTATTAACAGTAAATGTTTATTACAATTTCTCATGGCGACATCACATAATGGAAACATGCGAGGCATCTTTAGTAACAATAAAAGACAAATAAGAAACTTAAAAAGAGGCACTTATATCACAAAGTAAAAACATTGTTACAAGATTAAACATTTGTGTGCAGCATGACAAAAGGCTTTTGCAGTTGCGTTGGAATTTTTTATACGGATCAAAGTGGATAAGAACATACGGAATTCATTTATGAAACAGTTCATGTTTGGAAGTTGTTTTTTCCATTTGCTTTTGTGGATGTGGTATTTACCCATAATAATAATAATAATAATTTTAATTAACGATGAATTATTCCCATTTAATTTAGAATAGTAAATAAGAATATCTTCATTTGTAAAACGATCAAGTTCTCTTATTTTATCTCTTAACCAACAAAGGACTTCTTCCCAAAACTTCTTACTGACAGGACAGCTGAAAAATAAGAGTTCTGTTCCTTCAGGGCTTCCCTGACAGAATTCACAAGGACCAACTTCTAAACCAAATCTCTTCCTCAGCGTCTCTGCTGATGGATAGTAGTTGTTAAGAATTTTAAATAGAATTTATTTTACTTTGGGCATTATAGGCCATTTTAGACATTTTAATTGTTTTCCTTCAATTATTGGATTTCCTAATATTTTTAGTTTAATCTTTCTATCATAATCATGATAGATATATATTTAAAGGCTCCGTTTAAAAATTAATTTTCACATTTTCTGTCTGTGATGTTCAATTCCTCTATTAATAAATTAGGAAGTTTTATTTGAACATTAGAGAAGAGAACTGTGTTTTTATCATTTGTTATATTTATTATTATGTTATTATAATAATAACATCAGTCTGACTTAGTGAGTTGTTAAACCGTCATGTTTACGGTGTAATGTGGAGATGTGTACAGGGACGAAAATTGCTTTTTCGCCTGTTTTTCTCCTAAATTCTGTTGAAAACAACGATTAAATTTAAAAATGACGAAAATGACAGTTTTATTTTGCCGGGAAAGCTCCTGGAGCGGAAGTAGTTTGACTTTCCCGGTTATTATAACAAATGTGCGTGAAGCACGTGTGAGAATGTGAGAGATTCAGAGGTTCAAGCATTTCACAATAAATACTAACGGAAGAGAAGAGTCTCACCTGTGAATGGAAGTGGGCTCGCGGGTCGTTCCGGCGGATCGGTAGGATGTAAATGAAACCAGTCGACTTCTGAAGAAGTTCTGAGCGGGACGAGGAACTTCCGGGTAGGCGGGGCCAGAAACAGCACAAGAAACAAGACCAACTGCACATGAACGCTTATGTGACTATTAAACTTGCTTTAAACTGGAATTGAATGAAGCTAAAAACAACAGACTAAACATTATTAATAAACAGAGGATCAAAATGACACCAAAATACACATTATGACCTTAAATTACGTTTTTAAACTTAATGCACCGTTTGATAAATGTGTAAAAAAAAAAGTGTAATTTAAGATGATTTCTAACCCAGCGGTATGCAATATTAATCAGATAATAATGCTTTATAACTGCCACTGTGTAATGAAAATAGTCAATTTGATTCTGTACATCTAAGTATATTCACAGCGTTATATAATTAAAAAAACAATATTTTTGTCACTTGACACGTGCAGTACTAAGATCTTCCACCAGAGGGCAGTGCTGAATAAATAAATACACCTGGGTTTTAACGGGTAGTTTTAGAAACAGGAAATATTAGTATCAAATATGATGCGTTTGCATATTAAAAATGTATTAAGATAGTTAGAAATTAAAAATATATTTAAATTTACTCAATGATGTGTTCAAAGATAAACACATCTTATTTCAGAATAATGGGACACTTTGAGACTTTGTCCATCCATCCATGCATAATTCCATTTTCGGCCACGGGGACAGGGGGGCCCAGACTTTCCTTTCCCCAGCCACTTGGGCCAGCTCATCCGGGGGAATCCTAATGTGCTCCCTGGCCAGGTGAGAGACATAGTCCCTCCAGCATGTCTTGGGTCTTCCTTTAGGTCTTCTCCTGGTTGGACGTGCCTGGAAAACCTCACCAGGGAGGCGTCCAGGAGGCATCCTAACTAGATGCCCGAGCCATCTCAACTGTCTCCTCTCGATGTGGAGGAGCACCAGGTCTACTCCAAGCCCCTCCCAGATGACCGAGCTTCTCACCCTATCTCTAAGGAGAGCCCAGCCACCCTGCGGAGGGAACTCATTTCGGCTGCTTGTGTCTGCGATCTCGTTTTTTCGGTCACTACACAAATCTAGTGACCATAGATGAGGGTAGAAACATAGATCGACTGGTAAATCGAGAGCTTTGCCCTCCGACTCTGCTCTCTCTTCACCACGACACATCACTGCAGACACAGCACCAATCCCGCTGTCGATCTTGCGCTCCATCTTTCCTCATATTTGTCATATTTTTTAATTATTTGAATAATTTTTTTATCCGTCCCGTACTCCAACTGGGAGGAGGCCTAAAGGCTGTACTGTACCGTGGAGATGACACCGTCAGAGCCCTGAAGACCAATCCAACCGCATGTATGTCATAAACTGTGTGATAAACCCATAATGATGGTTATGGAGAATTATTGTAATAATGAAAATCCTTTTCCAGGGTATTCACGTAAGCTTATGGACCTGCTGTTCGACTCTGTGGTGATGGATCCTCTCCCTTATCAGGAGTTGTCAGACGAAACCCTGTTCCAGAACCTCTCTGAGCCCAGTTTGAAAGACCAGACAAACAGGAAGCTGTGAGCAGGCATAGGTGAAGGTTTTAAAGTGCACGTAAGGTAAGCTACACAAGAGATTACAATTATTAGTTACTATTATTCTACTCTGTGTTGTTTTTCCTTCTCTCCTCCTTAGCCAGCTGCTCACTACTGGACGGCAGAGGAGGTACCTGACAACTCCTCTAATGTGGCTATAACAGCAGGTGCATCCTCACACACCTGCAACCCATCAGCACATCGGGCAGGAGAATAAAAGCAGCTGGTAGCCAGTCACTAACCCTCTCTTATTTTCTACACAGATCTCTGGAATTCCTGCTCTTCGTGCTCTAATCACGCCACCATTTCTCCTCCTCCTCCTGGACAATCCTCAACCATCCTTCCATGACTGACAATCAGTTTCGTCATTACGGATCCTTCTGCTCATCCACTCGTGGCTCAGGCTGTCCACCTCTCAGATGTCTATTGATCTCGACACCATTCTGCTGTGTGGCTCCCGTCCGACCTGAAGCTCTTGACCGTATGTAACATAACAAAGCTCACCAGTGTTGCTTTTGTAAGTTTCACTAACATTCCATTTTTCCTCAGGGCCTCCTGATCTTCTGAGAAACGCGTGTGGCTCCATCTCCACGATGTTTGTCAGCAGCTACGGAGGTTACCTCCAGTCTAAGGAATGTAAGAAACATCACTGTTGGCTCAACCGCTCCTCGCGTGGCTCCAGAGAGTCTCTGCTCGTGGTTTCGGGTTTTGCCAAAAATCATGACAGTTCTGATCCGACTGGACTGTTTCCTGCCAGGCGGCGACCACCACCTCTGTCACACTGTAACATAACATTTAGTATTTGATATAATAAATGTTGTTATTGTTTGCCAAGTTAGCTTTGCAGCACAAATGCGTCATTTTAAATAAAATTTCATTTATTGTCATGGTCTGCGTCTGCGTCTCCCCTCATGTGTCTCCTTGTGTTCTCCATCCCTCTCTAGGTTCTCCTTTTGTGTCTCCTAGCGCCCTCATGTGTCCTTGTCTGCATTTTCCTCATGTGTCTCCTGGTGTTCTCCATTTTCCCCCAGATCTTCAGCCCTCTAGGTTTCCCTCCTCAGATATCCCCCTCCCAGGTCCTGTGCTCCCGTGGTCCCCTTTAGTCACGCCCCTGTAGTTTTTCTTTCTGTAGTGTTTTTCCTTTAGTTTCAGCTTCCCCCTTAGAATATTAGTTATGTTTGCTGCCCTTCTGGCCTTTAGGTTTTTCTCTTAGGTCATTTTCCTTTAGCTACAGCTGTTCTTGTTATTTAGGCCCTGTCCACACGTAGCCGGGGATCTGCCAAAACGTAGATATTTTTCTACATTTCGGCCTGTCATCCACACAAAAACGGAGTTTTTTCACACGAAAACGGATCTTTTTAAAAACTCCGGCCAAAGTGAAGATCTGCGTTTTCTCCGTTTTGGGTGTCTGCGTGTGGACAGACAAAACCGGAGTTTTAAGGTCCGCAACGTCACTTTCCGCGACAAAAAATGCTGACATCACGTGTGCGACCTGTGTTTACATTAGCCGACAGCATGGATGCCCTCAGAGCTGCGCTCGCTTTATCAATTGTCCAAGCGCTTTCTGCTTGTTTGTTTTTGCAAGCGGAATTACTGCTCCTTGCGGAAGACCACAGACGAAGGACGAGGTTAAGAACGGGGGAAGTGCTGCCGCCTACAGGTCTGGCATGTCCTTAACAACGTATTTATCCGGGTACGTGTGGACAGTTTTTTTTTTAAACGTGGTGGTGTGGATGCAAGTTTTTGGAGGGGCGGATATTCGTTTTTAAAAAACCCCGGCTACGTGTGGACTAGGCCTTAGTCTCTCTAGTGTGTTTTTCCCATCGGTGTTTGAGGTTTTTCTCCCCCCTTAGATTATTAGTTATGTTTCCTGCTCTCGTCTTTAGGTTTTATTCTTAGGTCATGTTAGTTTCCTCCCTGATTAGTAATTGAGTTCACCTGGTCCCCCCCCCCCCCCCCCCAGTGTATATATCCCTGTCTATGTCTCAATGTTTTGTCGGTCCATTGTTCTTGTCAGACTCGTTCTCGTTCACGCTCTAGTGTCTCTAGTGTTTTTGGCATTTCTTGGTTTAGATATTTGGATTCTTGATTTTTGGTTTTTGGCTCCCTGCCTTCCTGGATTACTCCAAAATAAAGGATTTTATTTTTATCATCCACCTCCTGCCTCGTTCATCTGGTTCTCTGCATCTTGGGTCCTAAACTTCCTCCTACATCAACCGCGGCATTTATATTTGTATGTGTGTGTGTGTGTGTAAATTATCATTCATTTTTAGCAAATTGAACATGCTCTAATGTGTGTTACAAGAGTGTGTTACATTAATCTAGACGGGAGGAGATAAAGGCATGGAGAACCATTTCAAGTTCATGTTTTGACACCAACCTTCACAGTTTGGAGATATTTTTCATGTGATAAAAACAGTTTCAGTGTTTTTGAGTGGCCTTCAAGATGCGTTGATTGCTATGCTAACATGCTCATAGTCTATTTTGGGAGATCGGCAAGACTCGTCAGTTATAATTGCCGATCTCCGATCACCAAAAAGTCAACCCGATCCAATCTCGGGATAGGGATCAGGATATCCCTAATAATAACCAATCTGTCTTATTTTTTGCAACATACCAGCTTCAGTGTCTTTCTTGAAAGAACATGAAACACGTCAGATGTGTACTTGAAGTAAATCTTGTGAAAAAGTTCAAGTCCCACTAATTCATCACACACTGGTGAAAGTCATCTCCGCATTTGACCCATCCCCATGGGGAGCGGTGAGCTACAGAAGTGGCCGCGCTCTGGAACTATTTGGTGATTTAACTCCCCAATCCAGTCCCTGAAAGCTGAGTGTCAAGCAGGAAGGCATTGGGTCCCATTGTTAAGGTCTTTGGGATGACCTGACCGATCTCCCAGTCCCAGGCTGGACAATCTACTGCTAGACCACTCAGAAGGTTATTAACAAATCACTGTTAGACTGACTTTAAATCTGTTGGCTCTCAAGCATTGGGGTCATTTTATTACTATGTAGGCTTCACTTTAATAAGTTAAGGCTGTTTGCAAGTTAAAACACACCTTTCATCTAATTAAATGTGTAGCATTTATTCGAAAATTGATTGTTAGCTAATTGTGATTTTGATCTTTAGATGTATTTTCACCTATTTTCTTTATTCTAGAAAAGAAACAGACAAAATGGGGCAGTTTATTTTTGATATTTCATACCCGGGAAGGGGCAGGACACACGTGTTATCTGCTTTAATGAAATAACCCCAATCCTTGAGAGGCAGTTTATAAAATAAGGGCAGCAGTTTGATAAATGCCACAAGATTTATTATAAGTTCACATTTTTTTCAAGGTTGGATTTTATAAATAAAAGAAACAGAATTTTTTTTTTTTTGCAAAACCGGACAGAGTGGTTATTATAACGCTATGGCCACATTTTCTTTACAAAACTTCCCCAAACAGCTGATCTGTTGGTATCGAGCATCGACATATATATCGAGGTTGGTATCGAGGAAGTTTGCTGCTAAATGAAATAGCCAATCGTAGAAGCGCCCTTCTAGCCAATCAAATACGAGAAAGGCGGGATCTTCCTTGGACATCCTGCGATTTCAAATAACGCTCCCAGTTCAGGTTAGAGCAGGAGCTGTAGTTTAGACAAGAAGTGGGAATTTCTGGAGTTTTCTCTCATCTTGTCTACAGAACATAAAGACTTGTGAAACTTGTTGGACATCCAGCCAACTGTTGCGTGTTTACGGTCAGAATCGCTTTAAACGCACACGTTTGTTCCTGAACGAATACATCCGGGACATAAAGCGCTTCGAGGCGACCAGTAACTTTGGTGAGTTTATAATTTCGGGAGTCCGTTTTTCGTCACATGTGCTGACTTGAACGTTTCATTTGTTCTCTGCTATGGCGACATGACTAATTAAAAGCTTGTTCATTACTTTTTTTCAAACCACAGAACTCAGTGTAAAAGTTTTTCAGCTAAACTAGCTCTAACGCTAGCTTAAAGCTGAGTAGGTGTCGCTGGTATTTCCTCAAACACCAAACGTCCCTTTATGATTATTTACAGTAACTTTTAAAGATGGCGACGTTTACTCCGATCGAGCTGGTGTTCCACGCACTCGGTGCCAGGACTACTTTGTATTCCCAGAGCTTCTCTTTGTTTGAGTGACTTACATCTCTCTGGATGTTTCTTTTGTTCTCTGAAATGTCTTTGTGGGTTTAAACTATTTTGGATAGCTGTTTATCCACTAGTGAGAAAGCTGACCTGAAACCTTCAGTCGCTGTGGAAACACAGCTTCACCCAAGGTTTAGCTCCGAATAGACTTCAGCTACTTCTCCTCTCTTTGCTTGTTGTCTATGTTGATCAGAACTTGACTGGGTTTGTGTTTGACACCACTGGTCCGCGTGTCCATAACGACCAGCTGGCCTTCTTTGTTCCACACCACAAACTGATTAGCATGCACCATCCCAACGCTGCATCTGTCCTGGCAGACGCTGCTTTTGTTCCCCATTTAAAACTTGGGTCTTTGCCCTTTTTGTCCAACTGTCCCCACATATCAAAAGCGTATAGACTTGTCAGCTTTCGGCCCGTCTAACGTTGATGTACAAGTGGACTCTCATTGGAGCTCCAGTTGAAGGTTAATGGAGGTGTCTCTAAATAAAGTAAAATGTTCCAGTGCAGATTGGAGACAACCCATAGAAGCACTGATTTGATCTCGTTTCAGAGAAAAATAGCACAGGTCAGATGCACCTAATAAATAAAATGACTAACAAACTCAGGAATCTGTTTCTTTGCTTCACTGTTCTGGTGCTGAGAATATCACTAATGCGGATCAAAGGAGATCCACAGATGAATGCACCTCTTATTTATTATTTGGAGACTACATTTACTGCAGCTGGCAGAGGCAGAGATTTTTTCTATTGATACACGGAGTTTACAGAATCATTTTAAATGTTAATAGGGGAAGACTGCAGGAGGGAGCGGTAAAATACAGGGGGTCCCCAGCAAAAACAAGAAACTTTACGAGTCTGATGAAACCCGCTGGTTTTCCATCAGGCAGTCACGGGGCAGCTCCAACGACCCAGTGGCTGTGCTGGGTCAGTTATCGAGCCCAGTCCGGTACCGGCTCGGCCGTGAACGAGCCGAGGCGACGTCGTGCTCTGCTTAAGAAGAAGCGTTATTTTCCCGCTCCAGAAGAAGCGTCCAACGTGTTTTTACTCTTTCTCCGAGACATGTCACGTCGCTAAGTTGTTAGCGCCGCGCGCTAACACGTCAATAGTGCAGCGTAGCCTGCTGGAGGTTTTAAGGGTTCAGATGAAAACACCCGACCTCTCACGCTGCTCACACATCGATCTTAAGTTGTCGCTGTTGCGCTCACGCCGTAATACAGTATTAGATGCGGTTAAAGTCCGACATGAAAAAATAAATAAATTTTACATGAATAAGTGATGATTAGCCTGGCGGGGGGGGGGGGGGGGGGGGGTCTGGCCTAATAAGCACTGGAGGAAACCCTGTCAAGATCGTCAACACTCGTTTATCTCAATGCTGCTGAAACATTTAAACCGAAAAGCATTATATCCACTGCTACCTTTTTATACTCAGTTACTTATGCTGTAACTGCACCTTGCTCTGCCTGCTCCTTTCTTCTTGCTGCCTGCCGGCTGTGATCACAAGCGACAACATAGTAGTTCCCGCTGCTTCTTCGGGAAACGGCGCAAATAAATAAATAAAACTTGGGATATTGTAGACGTTGCGGTAAGATTTCAGCCGTGGCGGGCCGCCACGGCTACGTCTATGTAAGGGAAACCCTGGATCTGTCGTGCTGAAGAAAGAGCTGAGCAGGGAGGTGAAGTTCTCGATTTACTGTTCCTACCCTGACCTTAGTCATGAGCTATGACCAAAAGAATGAGATCGCGGATACAAGTGTCCGAAATGAGAATTCTCCACAGATTGGCTGGGCTCTCCCTTAGAGATAGGGTGAGAAGCTCAGTCATCTGGGAGGGCCTCGGAGTAGGGCTGGGCAATATGGCAAAAATAGAATATCACGATTTTTTATCCATGAATAGCATAACTTCAATTGCGTATTAAAGAAGAGAAACATTGAATAAATAAACATTTATTCATACTAGGGATAATCAACACAGTGCTAACACACTTATATTTTAAACTCACACCAGAGATGATAAAAGCCCTGAGAGAAACAATTACAAAAATCAGTTTTTCTCGTTTTTCAAGTAACTTAACATAAATTAAAATCGTAAACATATTTAAAGTGCAAACATGTCAATTGCAAACGTATTGTGCAAACATGAACTTGTTCAAAATACTATGTAGCTCCCAGTTGCTCATGTAGTGGATAGTTAAGCTCAAATACGGCTCTGATGTGCGGCTGGACCAGAGATCGCTTGTGGTAGCAAATAACTGCGCATTCTGAATATTTTCTGCAACAAGTCTCTAAATAAAGTAAAATTTTCCAGTGTAGATTGGAGACAACCCATAGAAGCACTGATTTGATCTCATTTCAGAGAAAAATAGAAAAAATAGAACAGGTCAGATGCACCTAATAAATAAAATTACTAACAAACTCAGGAATCTTTCTTTGCTTAAAGAGCAAGTCACCCTCAAATCAACATTTTTTTCTGATAAACTATATAAATGCGTGTCTAATCGTGCTGCAGACACGTGTAGTTAATAGTTTTGCACTTTAGTGCATTTTAGTTAAAATTGAAATTTTCTGCCTGAAACTGTCAGTGTTGTGCCGTTGTCGGGTAAAAACTCTTCACTGCATTTGAATTTAAATCTGCTACCGCTATTGGCTAAGAGGTATGCTATGATGTAAACTGGAACATTATGATGTCACAATGTCGTGAGTGTGTGTATTTGTTAGTGGCTCCACCCTCTCGGTCTGCTAGGCAACCGCATTTGTCGCATTTTTCAAACATGAAGTGGGAGTGAAGTACGCTTCTTGTAAGGGGTGACTTGCTCTTTCACTGTTCTGGTGCTGAAAACATCACTAATGCGGATCAAATGAGATACACAGATGAATGCACCTCATTATTTGGAGACTACATTTACTGCAGCTGGCAGAGGCAGAGATTGTTTCTATTGATACACGGAGTTTACAGAATCATTTTAAATGTTAATAGGGGAAGAGGGCGGGGCACTAATATATTACTATGACTCACTCTGATTGGTTAAGGGTCAAACAAAGGCGTGTCATTCGCCTGGGGTAAGTTCCCTTTTCATTCAGAGGCAGAAATTCAACAGCAGAGCTGTGAATCGTGATAAAAAGGTCTCTCAAAAATGACAGACCGTCAGATGTGTAGATCGTAAAACGGTCTAAAATCGTCATATCGCCCAGCCCTACCTCGGAGTAGACCCTCTGCTCCTCCACATCTATAGGAGGCAGTTGAGTGACTTTGGCACCTGGTTAGGATGCCTCCTGGACGCCTCCCTGGTGAGGTTTTCTAGGCACGTCCAACTGGGAGGAGGCCTAAAGGACGACCCACAACGCGCTGGAAGGACTGTGTCTCTCGGCTGGTCAGGGATTGAGATTCCCCCGAAAGAGCTGCCCAAGTGGTTGGGGAGAGGGACGTCTGGATCTCTCTGCTTAGGCTACTGTCCTCGTGTGCCATCAAATTTAAAAGCCAGTGCTTGTTAAGTAGGCCGTCATTTATTTAAGTTGGGCAGTCCAAATGACAACGAGGAGGCTCGCTAGCTGTTGCACACATACACAGTGGGCATTATTTTACTCCCGATCCGAATGGCTGTGTACATGCACGCCAATCGACATGATGATCGGACAAAACCACCTCTCTCAATTCGATTGAAATTTCGGACCGAATCGGATCAGGATTATCCGATTGACATGTTTACATGCAGAATTTTTCATCTGAATGGGTGTTTAGTCCGATTAATTGTGCGCATGTAAACGTGGTTACTGACCCTCATTGGTAGGAGGAATAGTTTATTAATGCACTAAGTAACATTAATGAAAGCACCCTTATTGTAAAGTGTTACCAAATTGTTATGCTGGTGCTACAAAACCTACAACCTTTGTAGCACTGGTGCTATAAGCTAAAAATGATAACGTGCAGCTCTGCAGCATATTTAAATACTTTAGAACAAAGAACACCCAAAAAATATCAATGTTATCATGTCAGCGTTTATGACCTGGTCTTTTTCATTTTAATATAAGGATTCCTGCCTCTATCCCAGTGAGCTGCTGGATGACTCGCCCTGCCCGTGGCCCACGGTTTACACCCAACAAACCCTCTCAGTGTTCTGGAGTGAATTCACACATTGTTTCTCTGTTGCTCCCAGTACAAAGACCGTGGGTGTATCGGGTGTGTTGTAGCAATGGATGGTGTTGTGTTGAAGCTTTTGCTTGAATGAATAAGACATTTAATAAATGTAAATAAAATATCTGGGAAAAAATGCCCTTTGTTGGTGTTTAAAGGAAAGTCCTGAAAGTGCTCCAGTGACGTTAAAAATGTGATTGTTGTTGACAGATGACGTGTTTTTACACTGATGGGGGTACTCTGATGATGACGATGAGATAGTCCTCCCGCAATGATGTTTTCACTGGGTCAGGAAAACATCTCCACTTCTACGACATCCACCAAAGTACCGGTCAAGTATGGAGAGCTCCTTGTGCTGGGGTAAGATGTCTCCTGTTTGGTGCTGGGGAAACGGGCGGGTTGACCTCCACACAAAGCAGCTTTTCTTTCTTTCTTTCTTTCCTTCTTTTTTCTTTCTTCTTCTTCTTCTTTCTTTCCTTCTTTTTTCTTTTCTTCTTCTTTTCTTCTTTCTTTTCTTCTTCCTTCTTCTTCTTCTTTTCTTCCTTCTTTTTTTCTTTTCTTCTTTCTTTCCTTCTTTTTTCTTTTCTTCTTTCTTCTTTCCTTTCTTTTCTTCTTTCTTCTTTCCTTCTTTCTTTCTTCTTTCCTTCTTCCTTCTTTTTTCTTTCTTCTTCTTCTTCTTCTTTCTTTCCTTCTTTTTTCTTTTCTTCTTTCTTTTCTTCTTTCTTTTCTTCTTCCTTCTTCCTTTCTTCCTTCTTTTTTCTTTTCTTCTTCTTCTTTCTTTCCTTCTTTTCTTCTTTCTTCTTTCCTTTCTTCTTTCCTTCTTCCTTCTTTTTTCTTTCTTCTTTCTTTTCTTCTTCCTTCTTCTTCTTCCTTTCTTCCTTCTTTTCTTCTTTTTCCTTTTCTTCTTCTTCTTTCTTTCCTTCTTTTTTCTTTTCTTCTTTCCTTCTTCTTTTCTTCTTTCTTTCCTTCTTCCTTCTTCTTCCTTTCTTCCTTCTGTCTTTCCTTCTTTTTTCTTTTCTTCTTCTTTCCTTCTTTCTTCTTCTTCTTTCTTTCTTCTTCTTTTCTTCTTTCCTTCTTCCTTCTTCTTTTCTTCTTTCTTTCCTTCTTCTTCTTTCCTCCTTTTTACTTTTCTCCTTCCTTCTTTCTTTCTTTTCTTCTTTCCTTCTTTTTCCCTCTTCTTCCTCTTTATCATCATCATAATCAAACAGCCCAGAGTTCTCATGGGTGATGTTGGTGCTGCACTACAGTCGTGCAATGTCAGTGAAAACACTAAAAACATAGAAAACCTTATACCAGTCCCCAACCCCAGCTTGTTTTCTGTGATTCCTGCTCTTCAACACCTGAATCAAGTAACTTAATCCTCTCCTTACCACGTTTAACTCTGCACAGGCCTGTTAATTACTCGTTTATTTCATTCAGGTGTGTGTGGGAGCAAAGGAACAGATACAGTTTAAACACATTCCTTGAAACTATTGCTTATATTCTGGAAACGGTAAACACAAATCCATAACGTCTCACCCAATTTCCCAAACATTTTCAGGTCAAAATGAAGCTCCACGCTCAAAACCATTCACTCTTGCTGAAAAACCAAACTTTGGCCACAGACGTCACACACAAGGCCTAAAAACACACACACAACAACATAGTCTTACACATTGGTGCAATAAATGAAAAACCCATAAAGATTGAAAAATGCACCACGGAAAAAGTCTGAAAATATGAATGTTTATTCACCCGCACCACTAGAACAGGGGCTCCCTTGTCGATCTTTAGAAGTTTTTTTGCTGATAAGTGGTTTTGATTGGAATGTTTACTTGGCGCCTTGAGATGACTCGTGATTTGGTGCTACATCAATAAACTGAATTGAATTAAATGTTGGTCACACCCAGACAAATACTTATCTAATCATGATGGGCAAGTCTAGTGAGTTGAGCCTGTTGGGTTGCTGATCTGCCGCATAACTCCACCTAAATCCTGTTAAATGTGTTAAGAACCTCGACCTTGGTGCATAATGACTTCTTTCAACAACAAGACTTCCTCACTTAAAGTCGTTCACACAGGACTTAAGGGTGAACCTGTGGTTCAAGGAAATGGAGCGACATCAGCAGCGGTTGCAGACCTTTTGTTTGCTTTTGCATCACAGTGGATGCAGACCTGAAGAATCTGGGAGTGGCAATTACTCTGGTCATACGCTTTTACTTCAAAGAACCATGCAGTTAGTGGAACAGAAGTGAAGTTTTTGGTTTTAGAGTGGAGCCAGAACGATGTGGGGGTAGTCTGACCTTGTCTGAGAAAAGCCGTGGCTGTTTCTTTATCTGAATTTCAGGAAGTGTGCATTATCCAGTGGAAGAATGGCTTAACTCCTGTTTACTCAACCTGCAGCTAGCCACAGCCTGGCTCTGAAGATAACCTCCAGCTAACAGAGGTTTAATTAAAGCTCCTGCAACGTTCTGCTTTCACTATTGTCTTTTGGAATGTCACTGAGTTCATGATAGCAGTGATGCTCTTCCTGGTGTTGTTCTAGAAGATTTAACTTCCACAGAATAGGGTTGTCACGGTAACCGGTGTGGCGGTAAACCCCGGTAAAGTTGACAATAATAATAACTGTCTTGTTTTTAAAACATATGTTATCTTGGTGGGTTTACCGTGGCTGCGGTGTAGGCGCGGTGACCCTTACCAGCCACCGTATCATCTGCTGAAGTTGCCGGCGGCACATGCGCACTTTGTTGTTTACAACCAAAACTTTCTTGACGCTAAAGCTGAAATAATGGCCAAAGGAGGAGACGGCAGCGCTCAGGACATTTTTTTATGCCTCAAAGAAGACAAAGTGGGAAGTACGGGCATCTTTTGGATATTTGAAGAATGCTGAGGGACAGTTTATAGAAGACGGCTATCCTGTTTGCAGCACGTGCAGAAAAAGTGTCTGTGAAAGGCAGCAACGCTTCAAATCTCATGACACATCTGTGTGACCATCACCCACAACTCTACAGTCAACGCAAGGCAAGCTAACGTTAGCGTTTTAGCTAAAATGCGTGATCCGAGGATTTGGGTTGAGGGAGAACGCAACGAGTCGCTATATAAAGCAGCCGCAGCGCCGCTACCTGCATATAAACCGTGTCGCGGATACCGCCATGTTGAAATTACGCTATGCATTACGGGGCTCCCAGGGGCAGATAAGAGTTGGTCTCTCTCCGAGAATAATTATGAATTTAACAATGATTACTGCCTGATGACATTTTCCCAAATCTGCAAAGCTCACTGGAAGGACACAAACCGAGGACAATATTTTCCTGATATAGGGTTTATTACTCAAGTAATGGTAAAAAAAGTATCTGATTAGAAGGCTACTTGAGTACTGAGTATCATCTGGTCTAATATTTTTAAAATGATGACATCAAACAGACAAAAAATAAGAAGTTATGGGCAAATATTGGTAGTTTAAAGGCTTAAGGGGAAAAATGTAAACAAATGAACAACATAATTACAAAATAACACATTTTAGGCCAAATTTAGACACAAACTGAGGACAATATTTCCTGACATACAGGGTTTATTTAATTGTGTGAAAATGTAGCACGTTTAAAAAAAATGCCGCGATAATACCGAAAACCGTGGTAATTTTGGTCACAATAACCGTGAGGTTAAATTTTCACACCGTGACAACCCTATCACCTAATGGGTGTTGCAATGGCTTGAGTGGATCAGTTAAAAACCGCATAAGTCCAGCGTCTGAGTCTGGGCAGAAACTGTTCCTGCTCTTTGGCTTTCTCCATCCCAGAAGATGTCCTTTCTCCCCTGAAGGATGTGAACAAAATGTTCTGTTGACCTGTACCACAGAAATAAGCTGATGGGTCAGATTCAGCACACACAGGAAGCAGGCAGGGAAAACTTGAAGCGCATCTTCCACTTTAATCGTATATTGAAGGCTTTATATTGTGACAGGTCTAAACATTATATTTTCATTGTTTTTAAAGAAGGCAGATATTTGGAATAAAACAGGTGCTAGTACTGTTCCACCTAGGCTCATCCGTCTAAAAACGGCGCCTCTTGCTGGAAACTGGAAGTGACGTAGATGAAGGAAAACGGTCCTGACTCTACTTGGAAGAAAAAAAGGATTTGCAGCAGCAGCACAAAGCTCCAGATTCTTAATACGAACATACATTTATGTTAAATACTGAAGGTGCACAGCCACACAGTTTTGAGCCAGCAGCAAGAATTGATGGGAACAGGCTAAACGTAGCTCATTTACTGTAAATAGTGAAAGAAGAGCTGCTGAAGCGTGGGAACTTCCAAATGCACACGGACATTTTTTATTTAAATATATTTAGACAGAAACTTGTCCCCTGATATATTGCATCAAACACTGTTCCTTAAGAATAATATTTGTTCTCTAATTTATGAGTTTTTAAGGTAACTAAATCATAATCGCTGCTTTTTTTCTGACTCCCGAGTACACTACCATGTTGGCTTCCTGTTTACTAAATGCGAGCACGGCATCGGTCTAAAACGATCATGTGAGAGCCGCTTTACTGTTACGCTCAAAAGAAAGTAGTCCCACATTCAAACAGTGATCAGAAGAAAAGCCGTGTCTACTTTAGAAGAAAGTTTACTTTGAAATCGGTACAAAATGATGATTATGAAACAAATGGCTAGTTTTCACAAGAGGTGGAAATGAGATGAAACAAAAATGAAATGCGTAGAGGCGAATTTGAGCGCTGGAGTGTAAACACTTCCCCGCCATATTGGATGAGTCCCTCACTCTCTAAAACCAATTCATAGTCTATGCTGAGTGAGCAACTATGCCTGTTTTTGTGCTGTCTACTGTTCAAACAACCGGTGTACTATTGAAAACAGATTGTGAAGGATTACTATTGTATTTTCTAGCCCAATGAATGCACTGGTGACCCATCTAAGATGGCGGCCTTCAGTTACACCAGCGCCAACAGAAAGCCCCGGCCCATCTCCTCTACATATAAATAAATGATCTCTATGTTTCTCATATTCATTTTCTGTTGTGGAAAATCGATGAACAAGAAGAACATTAACCATTATTAAACTAGTTGAATCTGTGTTACCTCAGCAACTAAAAATAATCAGAGTCGAGCACGTCTTCCACTAAGTCTTCCTTGAGGTGCGTAATGAGTCACGTGACTCCAAAACCATGCATTTTTTAGGGAACCCTGCCCACTTCCCTTGATTTAGTGTTTTTTAAACACTTGCTAGTTATCTGAAAACATGGAAGGTTAACCAAAGTAACTTTTTGACCTTAGATGATTTTTTTCTACCATTTTAAAGAATATTAAAGATGCAATTTAATGATGCGGACATAAGTTTGTACAAACTCACTATAAACATGGTTGTCATATTAACTTAAGGCTTTTATTGAGTAGCAGGAGTTGCTAGTTATGGTGGAACAATGAAGACAAGGGTTGGGTTTAGAAGTTAGAATAAATGGTGAGTTTTCTCTCTAACACAGAATAAACACACATGATTATGAACTCACAGTAATACAGTTTGTGGTGGAAAAAAACAATTGCAACGAGTAGATTATGGGTGGGTTTATTAATGATACCTGAACAGGAGAGACAAATTACAGCCTTAAATCTCAGTACAATCTGATATTCTGCTCCGACTTTACAGACCACATGTCTTCTTGGAAAAGATAACAAGTGGGGAATAGAGGTCGACTGACAACCCATTCTCATTTACAACTACAATCTGGACCAAAAGGCAACAGCAACAGGCACATAGAGATCTGTGAGAGCCAGAAATATTGCTTATTGTAGAATGCCAAATCATTTATTTCCACCATAATTTACTAATAAATTCTTTAAAAATTCGGCAATGCAGGTTTTTTTTGTTTGGGTCAGCATGACGGCATCGTAGAGTAATAGCTCCCAACTAAAAGTTATGATTTTGCCCAGTAAATACAAAGCCTAAAAATAACCCACATGAATTAAAGGACAATAATACAATGTTACAAAACAAAACAGTGTTGCAAAGTAATTCCCCGTCAGGACAACAGAGGGCGTAGCGCTTTTCTGTAGTATCATGCCAGCATTACACTCATGTATCTGGTCCACAATAGTTTATTTACTAATGTCTGTCTGTCTGTCCTTTTTCTTTCACAGATTTTTAGTGATTCATCTTTTTTTTTTTATATTTTGACAATAAGCTCTTGGGGGGGTCGACCATTCCAACATGGCGTTGCCTCTGTACCCTTAGGCAGTAGCAGTCATGGGGGGTCTGAACCAAGCTCTCTATCTTCACTGATTAAACACGACTTCTCCTCCAGTTTGCTCTGCCGCTTCTCGGGTTTCAGTATAGTTTATCGACTTCTGTTCTGGAGCAGGAGCCTCTTGAGTCATAATCCGCTCAGATCATGGTGACGTAAAACCACCTTCACTGGTGCTGCAACTGTTCCTGGTTCACAGTAGACCTGAGCCTCAACATCTCAACCAAGTCTTTGTCCAGTCTTTAGAAAAGTGGAGATGTTTGAACAACTCATACTGGAATCAGATCTTTTTTTGTCTTAGAAATGACTTAAAATACTTGAGCCTATGTAAATCTACACGTCTTAGATCTTGACTGATACTTTGGGACTTCCCCACTGTTCTCAGTATCGGCCAATCTAAAAAGGCTGTCACAGATATTTTTTATACTGCAGTGGAAAAATTGCTGCAATCAACTGAGATCACCAACAAGAAGTCAAACAGGCTTTACTTTGTCAAGTCAGAGTGTCCGTAGACCCCTCAGCACCTGTTAAATGATTCAGGTCAGCGATTGAATATAGGTGAACTTTGATGATACAAAACACTTCTGAACTGGTTGAACTTGTTTTTTCCACCTTGAAAAACAAACGAGTCTTAAAAGACATACATTATACGCATACATACAAAAATGACACGTGACGAAGCACGTCTTCATCTTTTAACAGATTAAGGACCACTGCAGCAACTCTTGTTGAATGAGCAGTAGTGAGAAGATGAACTGACGTGTTTCTCAGCAGTGATGTTATCATGTATGTTTTCTGCTTGAGGCCAGGTTAACCGCTGTTGTCTGAGCTTCTGCATCATCACTGCTGTCTCCAGATTCCTCCGAAGTATGATTCAGGCTGATTATTTTATGCTTGACTTTTTTTTTTTACTGAGCACATTGGAAATGTATAACTACATTTCTCTAGTGAGTTGTTACGAAATTATTGGTTTTCTTATTGGTTTAGCTTGAGTATATTTAGTACTCAAGTGTTTTTGTCAGAAAAATGCTGATGAAGATGATTTCATGTGGGGGGGGGGGGGGGGGGGGCAGGTTTTTGCTAACAGGGTGCTTTGTGTGTTCAGGTGTAATGGCTCCCTGCCCAGCGGTGAGAGGGGGAGGAGAAAAAGTCGCTTTGCTCTGTGTCACAGGAACAAGGCCAACGGTGTGAAACCCAGCACTGTCCACACATCCTGCACGCCTCAGGCTGCCAAGGTGAAACCTGACCACTTACACTGAGCTGCTGGGATCTTCATGGGAGGGGTGTGATCTGGTGTTTCCTTCCTCACCACCGCTGTTTAAAGCTACTGTTACTTGTCCTGTCTCTCCAAAGGCCATCAACAACAAGGAACAGCACAGCATCTCATACACACTCTCTCGGGCGCAGACCGTCGTGGTGGAGTACACACACGACAGCAGCACAGACATGTTCCAGGTGTGTGCCGGCCCTGTTTTACAAGCATGGTGACGGGGGAATTAACTCATTTATTCATAATTACATTTCATCTAGAATCATCTTGAATTCACTTTAGATAATCCAGTAACCAGCCAGCGAGTTCCCCGTCAATGTTTCAGGTGTTTATACCTTCATTATTGGAACAAAATCAACAAATAAAAACATCTTTGGAACATATTTCTGACTTAAAGGTTCCAGATCATGTTATTTTATACCTTTGAGAGTAGGGCTGAGGAACATAATCAAATAATCGATGCATGGGGATGCGGACATAAACGATTCTGCATCGTAGAAGAGTACGCCATAATCAATTATAGTGGAATGTAGTTTTGTTTTTTTAACGGCGGCACCAGCGCAGCATCCAAATCTGTCAGTGTGTGTCCTCCACATTTACCAAGTGGTTCTGCAGGACTGAGCACTAGAGTTGTAACTTGAGACCGAACCAGCCCGACCGGTTCTGTTGGATTTAGGCCGTGAATCATGTTAATTGAGCAGGTTGTCATGTGGCGCGCTCCGCTCGCTCTCACGAGAGATGGCGGCTGCAGAGTGATCGCCTGTCTCTTTTGTTTAGGGACACGGAGAAGTTAAAAGTAGAGAGAAATAGAAGTTCTTGTTCCACTTTATTCTTTTGTTTCATGATGATAAATTGATGTTAAATCCAGCATAAAGAGAAACTGGGAGGAAGCTTTGGTTCATTTTAAGTTACAGGAGATCGTGTTTCCTATCTGCTCCTCCAGAGACATCATGGACATGAGGGTTACATGGTGAGGGTCCCACAGGACAGGTTAGTGGAAAGGTTTGTAGTTAGCTGGTTAGTGAAGGAGATCCATCAGCTGGGTAATTTAATCCTAATCCAGCCCACAGCCTTCTGCTGGTGTTATCATCAGAAAGAATAAAACACACATCTTAAATATTATTGGAAGTGTAGAATTTGTTTTATGTTTTATTATTTTCTGCATCAAACAGAACTTGATTCATTCTCCAACATTTCAGAAATGAACCACTGGGTTCAAATAAAATAAACTAAGTCAAACATTTCATTTGGTGTTATTTCTGACACCCTTCAACTGCGACATAAATATTTGACTCTAGAGCTGCTCAGAGACATTAAACACTCATATATGAACCCATTATGTATTTTATTATTACATTATGTGTCCTGTAGGTTCTCAGTACTTTTTTAGATTCTGTGAGTTTTTTGCAAAGCGTGTTTTTCTCAGCCTGAGGCGTGGTGTTGAACGAGGAAACAGATGTTTTACTTTGTTAAATCTTCTTAAATGTTTAAATGTTTTGTCCTAACCTGTTGTGGATGGAGAGCTTTTGAGGGATGGCAGGTTGTGTCAATTATGTTTTTGATTAAAAAATAAAAAGCAATTATCTGACATCTTCTATTTATCGATGAAAACAAATCAATATGAAATAATCGTGATGCATCGGGATATCGAATCAAATTGAATCGTTTTCCCAATAATCGTAATCGAATCGAATTAGGAGACAAGTGAAGATTCACACCTCTATTTGAGAGCAAAGGTAGGCACAGTATATGATAAAATATTACCGCTGGCACTGTTGAGATGTCATTTATCTTAAATAGGAGTTGTTTTCCTCAGCCTGAATTTATACCTGGAAACTAAAGGTGTTTTTCCAGGAGCGGTACTCAGCCTGAAACAGCTCTGTACAGCGTGGTTTAAGTCAGCCCATCTGAGTGTAGTTATGCTCCCATGCCAGCTCCTCGACAGAAATAGGCGTGGGGGGGGTGCGGTTCGGGGGCCACAAGGAGGGGGCCGCCTATTGAGTACCGCTGGTCTATTTAATATGGCGTAATATTGTTTGTTTTTCACGGTAAAAAGTCCAGGGGACAAAAATTGACTTTGGAAAAAGTGAGGGGGACATGTCCCCCTGAACCATGCCTTTGGGAACAGTGGTCAGGCCGAGCTGCATCGGTCTGAGTTGCTCGGAGTAGTGGTCCTGGAAAAACACCTTAAATGGTTCATTTCAGTGAAACTCAGCTCAATCCCGCTACAACAAAATGTGCCAACTACAGTGTCTTGGGCGAGATAAGGCGCATTCGGACTTTAGGAAACCTTTGTAGTTCCTAGAACCTTTTCAGAACCGGCCCCTTTTTGCGTGCATTTGGACAGATAGGCAGGCGCGTTGCAAGCTTTTCAAAAGTGTGGGGGGGGGTGTTGTCTGTGGATGTCATTAGCTGTAAATTGAAACTCAACCTCAATCCAGTAACGGGTCCTCGCATAATTCACAGTAGCAGAGTCCTTCCAAAAACATGCTTAATATTCACCAATTAGTGCTTAATCTGAGCCGGATCTTGCCGGAACAAGATCCGGAAACTATCTTACTTTGAAAGGACCGTTCCAACAACTGTCTGCTAGGATCCGGCAACTCGCGCAACAAACTTGTGCTACACACAAGATTCGAATTACTGGTGAGCTAGGGAGCGTGAAGGCGTCAACACACCCAGGGGGAGCCCAGAAACGATCCTGGTTCTACTTATATTACATCATCTATGTGGACTCTCCGGGATTATTTAGAACTGAGAGACGCAGAGCTCTGATCGTTGATGCGCTCCAGACAGATGCGTCCTGAGCACGGCCACAGTAACATTCCCAAAGTTATATTTATAGATTTAGGAACAGAAGAATACAATGGAAAATAAGAAAAAAAAAAAAAAGCTCTACAATTATAAGACAAATGTAAATTTACAACAAAACTACATATATTTTAGAATAGAAAAATGTTCTGGGGTCTCATTTATCAAACGTTGCGTGGAATCCTTACTAAAACCGTACTTAAGCTCAGCAAAAAAAATGCTTACGCCAAGCAGGTTTGTTTTCTATCAAACATGGAGTACGCACAGCTGCACGCAATCTCAGCTTCATGAATCAGAAACATCTAGAAAGGTTCTCAACTGCTTTTTAGTCACATCCCGCCCTCACCACGCCCACTTACTGCCATAAATAGTCAATGCAAATTGCCTTGTGGATCTCATGCATATACATAAGCCGGCTGTTGCAGCGCTCCGCCAATAACGATGGCAACCGTAGATCAAAGCAGATCAAGGAAGCGCTGTTTCACAGAAGCAGAAATTGAGGTACTTGTGGGTGAGATGGAGAAATGAAAGGAAGTGCTTTTGCAAAACAAATAAGAGAAAATCCACGGAGTGGCACAGCGTCGCTGAAGCCGTCAATGCTGAATTCTTCAGAGAGATCTGTGGCGGATATTAAAAAAAATGGTCCAATCAGGATTCAATCCCCAGACTCCCGGGTGAAATTCACGTGCACTAACCAGTCACCCAAACGGAGATCTCCCTTGTCCAAGTAGCCAGGGCGCATGATCAATCGGGTCACAGTGACAGGACACACACACTGTCACAGACGCATGACATTCTGCCTCAATCTGTCCCCCCTGCTGATATTCTGTATTCTGCACTTCAGTGTGTGTGTGTGTGTGTGTGTGTGTGTGTGTGTGTGTGTGTGCGCGCGGTGGTCTTATTCTGTGTGAAAAGTTAAAGTCCCATTAGTTGTCACACACACAGGTGTGTGCGAAATTTGTTCTCCGCATTTGACCCATCCCCTGGGGGAGCGGTGAGCTGCAGACACGGCCGCGCTCGGGAACCATTTGGTGGTTTAACCCCCCAATCCAACCCCTTAATGCTGAGTGTCAAGCAGGGAGGCATTGGGTCCCATTTTTTCAAAGTCTTTGGTATGACCCGACCAGGAATCGAACCCTGATCTCCCAGTCTCAGGGCGGACACTCTACCACTAGGCTACTGAGAAAGGTAGTACACAAACAAAGGTAAACAAAGCAGTACAAGTAATAATGCTGCAGGATTTCATAATTGTATCCTTCTCAGCAGCAGCACTGCAGGTGCTCTCCATGTCCAACATGTGTGTAAGTCAGGTCCTTAGTCAACTTAAAGTTGCACACATTTTTCCACTACGTTTTCTTTCTTAAATCCCAAAGTTTGCGTGGAAAGTTGCTTACGCAGTTTTCTGACCCCGTTTTATGCGTAAGCAAGCTTGATAAATGAGGCCCCTGACATTGCAAATCATTATTAAAGAACAACATAACTTAATGTTTGGATTTGGGTTTTATCTCTGAAGCCACTGCCACTGAGATAATCAAGGAAGAAAACCTCCCTGTGTTTAAGCTTCAGAATCTATAAAAATGTGTCACAGTGATGGCGAAAACCTCTGCATAGGAAAAAAGTCACATACCAGTGAAGTCTAAATGACTAATGAGGAAAAAGGAAGAAGAATGAATGAATATCAAATACATTGTACTTACACATATTGTCCAGTGTCCAGGATGCCAAACAGGAATCAGAACCCAGCCCTGATCTGGTGCCTGTGACTTGGAAAGAAAATCTGAATACATCATAGTAAAACTGACATTTAGAGCAGATAGTACGTGTTTCTAACTATTTACTGAGAGATGTAGAGTTGGATGAAGTGAAAAAGGTGGAAACCAACTTTGGACCACATGACTGTTTCCTGGAAAAACCTGAACACCATGGAGAGAAGGAAAAAAATGTTAGTGATTCAGAGTTATGGCTAATTCAGTATCTGTCTGCTGTGTCTCCTGACTTGGAAATGTTATTAAAGTGTTTACTCTTTTTTTTTTTTTAGTTCACCAACCTTTTCATTGGACAGTTTCTCAATGACTTTCAGACAGGAGTTTAGGATCTGTGATAAACGGTGAAAATAATTATCCCACTACATAAAAAATTCAGATAGAAACACAAATTTTTTGAAATATATAGAAACTTACCAAACCATTCATGTCTTCTGATAACCCTAGTGTGAACATATCACGTTGAGTGAGGACCTGGTTGTCAAGACAAGCGACATGTTCATACGGATGTTTGCTTTTGTCTAAAACCAGTGGAAGCTAAGCAGGAGAAACAAAATATTACAAGTTTCTTTATAAAACTTGATGTTTAACATCATTTCATTTCACGTGAAATGTAGTTTCTAGTTCGCTCAACCCTGAGAAGAACTGACAAAGGTGAATCATTTGCAAACGCTTTTTGCAGTTTCTTCAAAAGCTCTTCCTTTTGCGGTTTTCTTAACCAGAGGTTTTGAACCAGATCATCAAGTGTAGATTCAGACAGATATCTTCTGGGTCTGTGGCGCGGGGACAGAAACGTAGCGACTGGATGTGCTCTCACTCAAAAGGCAGAATTCCACTCCGCTTGGCAAACTGAGCATTGACATTACACCTCAAGCTCACATTCTGATCTGTGAAACCGTGACCAGGTGTTTTTAATTACATGTATGAGTTTTGATGGACCACAAAAGGATATCTCAACAGTTGAGCTGAGCAAGAGACGCCTGTTGTTCAGTTCTGGAGCTCATGCAGGTTTCTGTGAGCTGGATCCGACCCAGACACCAGCAAGCCAGTCCAGCTGGTATTTTTAAAAGCCGCATATCCTCTCCTGGTGGTCCAGGCAGCGGTTCTGATCTGGTTCAGACCCAGAAACCAGCTGAGCCATATGTCTCTTCTGGTGGTCGGTTTTGACCTGGTTCTGACGGTGATCTGAGCTCCAGAAATCCACATTTAATTTTTAAACCCTGCCGCGGGTCTCCGTAGCCCAGCGCGGACCTCCCTGTCCCGCTACCTACTGATGTGGGCCACAGAAGTCCGTCTTTTCAGCTGCACAAAACGCCCTCAGGCACGGAGATAGAGGCGTTGTTTCTCTTATCTGGAAACCTGGGGACTCGATGTCCAGACAGGCTGGAGTTGGTACAGCCTTCACACACTCTAGTTTATCAACATGAACACAAAACTATTAAACTCACACACTGACTGGATAACATGACCTCTCTACCCGAACACTACCCACTCTCCATACTGAGCTGAGGCAGCGCCTAGCTTCTAACTCCCTTTGGTTACATCAGAGGTTCACATTTAGAAACAAGAGCCTTTTTAGAAGCTTTGCTGAGAAGACCGGGATGTGAACCTGCGCAAAACTGCGTCCCAGGGCAGCACTCGAATAGTCCCTGCACCACCAAGTCTCTTACATCACAGCAGTCACCCAAGCTACATCTCCTGAACTGGTCATGGGAGGCGGGTTTCAGAACCCAGACCAGATTCAGGGGAAGAGTTGGGCCTGGTGCCGGGAGCCCGAAGATGGTCTGTTTTCATGAATTTTAAAGTAAAACTTAAAATTTGCAGCTGAAACAGGACAATGCATGAATGCAGCCATTAATGTGTTTGGGAGTAGTTTTTATGAGGAAAAAACAATATCACATGTAGGGATGTAAGAAAAGATTGATATGGCAATATATCGTGATTTTTTTCCCTGCGATATATCGATATTCAAAAGCTATGTGTCTAATGTTTGGAAGAATTTACATGTAAACATTTGTGTATTTTTATTTTTATTTTGGTGTAATTCAAACACCGACCATTAGTTGGCAGCAGTGTGCAATGGGTTTTGTTTCCACCATTGAATTGTAAATCCCTCTGTTATGGTTCAGATATCTCATGTTAAACATGTTAAGTATCAGTTTGGATGTTTATTCAATATTCCTACAATAAATTCAGTCTAGAAACTTGCTATTAACATCTGACTGAATGCATCCTCAAAATATCGTGATATATTGTTTCTTCCCCCCTGTATCGTGATATGTATCATATCACCAAAATTTCACCAATACACATCCCCAATCACCTGCTAAAAAGCTCGAAAACGTGGATAATCCATGATATGACCCCTTTAAAATGAGAAATCTATTTTAACAAATAAAACAAATGTACTTTGACAAATGTTCTGGTTCAGATTAGTTGTAGGCTGTTTAGGACTCGAGCTAAACCCAGTATAATAGAAATGATGTATAACTTTCACACCCAGTCCCTTCTAATTGGCTGTACTGTCCCTTTAACCTTGTACCTCTGACTCCAGATTGGCCGCTCCACGGAGGCTCCTATTGACTTCGTGGTGACGGATACTATCCCTGGTGGACAGATCCAGGCCGACGGTCAGACTATCCAGAGCACCATCTCCCGCTTCGCTTGCCGCATCATCTGCCAAAGACACCCTCCTTATTCTGCACGCATCTACGCCGCAGGCTTTGATTCCTCCAAGAACATTTTCCTTGGGGTGGGCCACACTAACACGCTGAGTTCACCTTCTGGTTTTTCTGTGATCAAAGTACAGTTTTACTCGAGATGTGATCATCTATCCACAGGAAAAAGCAGCCAAGTGGAGGATGCAGGATGGCCAGATGGACGCACTGACCACAAACGGGGTCCTGGTCATGCATCCTCGACATGGCTTCAGCCAAGACTCCAAACCTGGTCTGTGGAGGGAGATCTCGGTCTGTGGAAATGTCTTCACATTGCGAGAGACCAGATCAGCTCAGCAGAGGGGCAAAATGGTGGGTGACTTCTATTTACCCACAATACAACTCTCCGATGCCAGCTCACGTACTCTGGTTGGGTTGGAACCAATGACTGTTTAAAAAAGATGATCAACCCCCACCCACAGCTTTCTGTGGGGCTTTTTTGAAGCCACACGAGCAGTTGTGATCGCCGCCATCTTGGCCGTGTCACACGCCGTGTTACACTCCGACAAGCCAAAAATGGGGAAGGAGGTGGAGCTGTGATAGTGTGAGCTAATTATTGACACTCATAAATTCTGAACCAAAGTAGCTATGAGCTAACACGAAGCTGCATGGAGCTTGGAGCCAACAGGGGTAGCTACGAACTACCTGAGCTAATCCGGAGCTAACGGAGGGTTTCGGGTGCTATTAGCCAGAAAATCACGGTTGAGCAACTTAGAAGTGAAGCATGCATCACCACAAAGAGCTGCGGTGCTTCCGTGGTCTACCTCAGAGCGTTTCACAGACAGCCTGATCTATTCTCCTTTGTGTGCAGTGGTACAGAGACACGCAACACCTTTATGCTTTGGTGCAAGGGCTCTCAGACAGACTCAGAGGGTGCCAGAGACATGCCAACATTTTTAAATATCCGTCAAAAGTGACTGAGACCGCATTCTTGTGATTGGTCAGAATGCTGCTTCCTGTAAAGTCTTTAACAGCACCGCCATTGCCCCTTCAAAAATAAAAAGATATCTAGCGGCAGACACAGATTGAAGTGGTGGAAAAAGTGAGAAAGCATGAAGGTTTATCCTCTCATGGCTGAAGGAGTACAAAGATATACAGCAAACGTTTTATTCGTGGACAGAAATGACAGGAAATGGGTTTGGTTCAGAGGTGGCGACCGCACGAGGAGGTGGAGGAGAATGCAGGATAATTTAGTCTGTGTTATAAATTCTCTAAAATATATAGTAAATGCACCGTCGTGGACCGGATACGTGTAACGGTTTCATGATACCACAGAAAAGCGCTACGCCCTCTGTTGTCCTGGCGGGGAATTGCTTGTCAGTGCGTGTCCGTCTCTCCTTGTGAAACTGATGAAGTACGGATCAGGCTCAAGTCTCAGTTGACTCGAGTTAGCTTGTTTGTAGCACCAACTACTGCAGGCTGTGGCACGGTTGTTTATAACGATCGCAGTTCTGTTTTCAACCAGCAGGAAACGTTTGAAGTGTTGCTTTAAATAGAACTTGGTTCATGCTCCAACAACAACAGAAAAACAAACCAGGCCAAACATTTAATTTAGCGTTACGCCCTTGAACTGCAGCATAAACATGTGATGCTAAAGCTGTTCTAAGACATTTAAAGCTGTGGATTTTATAACCTAAATGAAAGGCAAGAACTGGGCATGTCCTCTAGGTTTTCAGTATTTTTTAAGATTTTGTTCGTATCTACAGAGCATGTTTTCCCCACAGCCTGAGATGTGGCTGTTAAATGAGGAAACACGTTTATTTTACTTTGTTAAATCTTCTTGAATGTTTAAAAGGTTTTGCACTTTTACATTGTCCTCAGGACTTTTGTGATTGAAGAGCTTTTTTGGGGGGTGGCATGTTGTGTCAGACATGTTTTTGATTAAAAAAAAAAGGGCAAATATCTGTCATCTTCTATTTATTGGTGAAAACCAATCCAAATGAATTAATGGTGAAGCGTCGAGATATCAAATCGAATCGTTGACACAATAATCTCAATCAAATTCAATCATGAGACTGGTGAGGAGTCGCACCTCTAATAAAAATGAAGCAGAGACTCACTGGAGGATCTGTTGCTGAGGAGCAGAGGCTCCTTAGCTGATCGCAGTAAGAAAACTCATTTAGGGTCTTGTTCTTTTGGCTGTTCCCCAAAGCTCGTGATCATAAATAGGACTTGAACGCAGGTGGGCCAGTAAATCTGCTCAAATCCACTCTCACCTTTATTGCAACATAATTAGAGTGACAAACACACTAGACACAGACCATCGCGTCATTACAGAGTGATAAATCCGAATTTGTGGGTCTCGTAAATGCGGCAAGGAGCAAAGGGGAAAGGCGATAAAACTGGATTCTGATGCGCTTAGCCTCGTAGAAATATTGCCGCATGAGCCCCTCGCCTCTGATGGCTAAACGCGTGTCAGCCCCACTAATCCCTTTGGAGCGACTGTGGGTGCCCCCCCCCCCCCACACACACACACAAAAGAGGGTGGTCGCATTAGTGACGTATACTGCGCGCCGAGTGCCGGCAGGAAGGGATATAAACAGATAAACATGGCCTCCACAAAGATTTGTTGGAGTATCTCCACCCGGTGTTTTGTTGAAATGCATTTCTTTGTCAGGAAGAATTCCGGGTCTTACTGCTGCCAGCCCTGGTGCCGCACCTGTCGCTGTTTTCCAGGTCCAAACATCTCTTGTTGTCCATGACTTCAAATGATGTTTTTCTTTTTGGGACTCTGGTAGTTTGTCCGAAAGCTGAAGTGGTAGCAGCCGGCTGTTTCTCCCTCTTTGATACTACTCTTTGTTACTGATCCGCGGACCTCTCGCACCAGTGATGTCCTGTTGCTACATACACAAGTTCGTCATGAATGGAAGACCCAGGGAAGAGCGGCGGTTCAGTGAGACAGACGAGCAGATGGTCCAAGCTTTGGTTTCCGGTTGAGTCGTGTTATTGGCGAAGGCTTTTAGACCAATATGAGAGAACCATATGCAGTGACGAACATAAGTATTTGAACACCTTGCGATTCTGCAAGTTCTCCCACTTAGAAATCATGGAGGGGTCTGAAATTCACATTGTAGGTGCATCCCCACTGTGAGAGACAGAATGTTAAAAAAAATCAGGAAATCACATTGTATGATTTGTAAAGAATTTATTTGTTTTGCACTGCTGCACATAAGTATTTGAACACCTGAGAAAATCAGTATTAATATTTGGTACAGAAGCCTTTGTTTGCAATTACAGAGCTCAAACATTTCCTGTAGTTCTTGACCAGGTTTGCACATACTGCAACAGGGATGTTGGCCCACTCCTCCACACAGATCGTCTCTAGGTCTGTCAGGTTCTGGGGCTGGTGCTGAGCAACACGGAGTTTCAGCTCCCTCCAAAGATTTTCAATTGGATTTAGTTCTGGAGACTGGCTAGGCCCCTCCAGAACCTTGATATGCTTCTTATGGAGTCACTCCTTGGTTATCCTGGCGTTGTGCTTCGGGTCATTGTCATGTTGGAAGACCCAGCCACGACCCATCTTCAATGCTCTGACTGAGGGAAGGAGGTTGTTGCTCAAAATGTCACAATACATGGCCCCATTCATCCTTTTCTTGATACAGTGCAGTCGTCCTGTCCCCTTCGCAGGAAAGCACCCCCAAAGCATGATGTTTCTACCCCCATGCTTCACAGTAGGGAAGGTGCTCTTTGGATGCAACTCCTCCTTCTTTTTCCTCCAAGCACGGCGAATGAAGTTTAGACCAAAAAGTTGTACTTTGGTCTCATCTGACCACATGACTTTCTCCCATGCCTCCTCTGGACCATCCAGATGGTCATTGGCAAACTGCAGACGGGCCAGGACATGGTATGACTTGAGCAGGGGAACCTTTCGTGCAATGCATGATTTGAAACCATGACGGCAAAGTGTTCTACCAACAGTGACCTTTGAAACTGTGGTCCCAGCTCTCTTCAAGTCATTGACCAGCTCCTCCCGTGTAGTTCTGGGCTGATTCTTCACCTTTCTTATCATCAGTGATACCCCACGAGATGAGATCTTGCATGGAGCCCCAGTCTGAGGGAGACTGACGGTCGTCTTTAGCCTCTTCCATTTTCTGACAGTTGCTCCAACAGTTGATCAATTTTCACTAAGCTGCTTGGCAATTTCCCCGTAGGCCTTTCCAGTCTAGTGGAGGTCCACGATTTTGTCTCTGGTTTCTTTTGACAGCTCCTTGGTCTTGCCCATGGTAGTAGTTGGAGTCTGACAGACTGTGGGGTGGATAGATGTCTTTAAAGAGCTCAGACAGGTGCTACTAATTAAGATTACTAAGTGGAGTAGAGGTGGACTTCTTAAAGGCAGAGTAACAGGTCTTTGAGAGCCAGAATTCTTGCTGATTGCCAGGTGTTCAAATACTTATGTGCAGCAGTGCAAAACAAATAAATTCTCTACAAATCATACAATGTGATTTCCTGAATTTTATTTATTTATTTTTTTTTTTACATTCTGTCTCTCACAGTGGGGATGCACCTAGAATGTGAATTTCAGACCCCTCCATGATTTCTAAGTGGGAGAACTTGCAAAATCGCAAGGTGTTCAAATACTTATGTTCCTCACTGCACATATGTTTATGGCTTTAACATGTTAGAACGTTCTGAAGAGGCATGAACAAAAATCTTTTTAGCTTGTTTGTTTAGCTAATTTTCTATTGGAGCTATAATAAAATCCTATGCATTTATATGTAATCTAAACAGTGACAAACCAGTTAAAGTATCTGTCTTTGTCTTTTGCAGGTGGACTCTGAATGTAACGAGCTGGTGGACGGCTCGCTCATCGATCTGTGTGGCGCCACGTTGCTGTGGCGTACAGCAGAGGGCCTCGCACGTACTCCCACCATCAAACACCTGGAGGCGCTGCGGCAGGAGCTGAATGCCGGGCGGCCACAGTGCCCCGTGGGCTTCAACACCCTTGCCTTCCCCAGTATGCAACGTAAGGATGTCCTGGACGAGAAGCAGCCCTGGGCCTACCTGCGCTGCGGTCACGTACATGGCTACCACGGCTGGGGTGGGCGGCGTGACCCAGAGGTGGAAGGGGATTGCCAGGAGAGGGAGTGTCCCATGTGTCGGGCCAAGGGGCCTTATGTGCCACTGTGGCTGGGCTGTGAACCAGGCTTCTATGTGGACGCTGAGCCACCCAGCCACACCTTTGTCCCCTGTGGACACGTCTGCTCCGAGAAGACCACAGAGTACTGGGGTCAGATCCCGTTGCCTCATGGAACCCACGCCTTCCACGCCGCCTGTCCGTTCTGCGTCCAGCCGCTCAGCGGAGAGACCGGCTACATCCGGCTCATCTTCCAAAGCCCGCTGGATTAGAGGCCACTTTACTCTTCATCTGAAGCGTTAACCGGGGGGTGTTGCATGTGGAGTTTGGGTGTTTTAATAAGTTAAGTTAATTTAATTCTGAATACGTGCATTTATCTGGGGGATTTCTGCCTCTGTGGTATTAAGTGTTCTCAGGAGGGAGGATGTCTCTGGTGGAGCAGCAGCAAAACTAGCTGTAATAATGTTTAAACTGCCTTAAACTTATTTATTCATTTGCCTCCTGTGTTTGTGATCCTTTTAAAACTGCAGTGTTTAACAGCGGGAAGGTCACGGGTTTCCTCAAAATAATTCCTATTAAGCATCACCGTCACTATGGTTACCGTCCAGGGTCGGGCTCATTGTGGTCCTGATGCTGCTCTAGAAGGTTTCGTCTGAAAACACTGGATCTCAAAAACAATCAAATAAAACTCTGGGGTTTTATTTCCTCTCAAATCAAAAGATTTAATTCATACATCATCAAGCGTTGCAAGTTTGTGATTCCACTTGATACAGAAATGTGAGAAACTTTTAATTCTGTCAAACTGTTTTCTGTCTAAAAACAGGAGGATCTGTAAATCTGGATTTCTTTGGTTAGATGAGCGGTAAACTTTTACCAAACTACTGATCCAAACTCTTCGTCTCCGGAGCATTATGTAGGTTTAAATCCAACATGAGGATACGTTAAACGTTAGATTTTTAAACATCTTGTTTTTATTTTGTTTGTTTTGAGCCCATCTTTAAAGCCCCTGTCTGTAAACAGAAATCTGTCATCACACAAAGATTTTCAGTTTGCTCGAACCTCAGAAAATGCTGACTCATGGTTTTTGCCTTGCTGTCATTCTGCACATTGACTGTTTTAGTACAATTGAAAACAATAAACAATACTTGAGATTTCTGCTGCTGCCTGTGTATAATTGTAACCAAGTTTGGGGGCGTTGAGATATTTTTCATCGATTTGTCTTTTATTTGCTGACCTTGTAACAGCTGCTGCTGTTATTGGTGTAATACAGTATGTCACCACGAGGTGGCAGCACTTGCCTATATAATCAGTTCGTTATGTTGTCAGTAGGAAGGTCTCCTGTGTGTACACCATGTCGATGGTGTACACGGTACGCTTTCCATAAAGCTTGTCTCACTTTTGTTTCATGACCAAAATAAACTAGTTTTTGAGAAAAGGAAAGACTCGTTGAGACTCGTTGCTCTACCGGTCTTCTCGCACCACGCTGCGTGGCAGTCTCCATCTCTGACCTGCCATACCTTACAACCTGGACTCGAGTTCATTAATTAGCTGATTAGTGTGGCACCGGTGGCCTTTAATATTGAACCTTTTTACATTATTCTAATATTCTGAGTTACTGAAATTGTAATTTTCATTAGTTGTCAGTTATAATCATCAAAATGAAAAGAAACATTTGAAATATCTTAGCCTGTGTGTAATGATAAAATGTTGTGTTTTTTTTTTAAATTAATGAACTGGGGATGAATAGAGACCCATCTAAGATGGCGGACAGCCACTACGGTAGCTGCAATAGGTAACGCGAGGTGTCTACGTGTGTACGTACGTACGTACGTTAGTGGGTTCTACTTTGTTTCATGTGTCAAGTTGGTTTCCCCTCCGCTCCTCTGTTGCTCCTGTGATGTTGCAGAGGAGAAACACCGGCTGCTGCGCATCACACGACAGGTACAGACGGGACTGAAGCTCGGTAGTTTATAAAATATTTAGGATTTGTTTATTTGTATTGTTCTTATGCGGTGCTGTTTGTTTGCTAGCTGTTCTCTGTCTACGTGTGACCGCAGCTAACAACATTAGCTTTATCATTAGCTTATGGTACTGGCTACAGGTAGTGATTATCCGGTCAGCCTCTGAGACAGAAAATGAGAGTAAGGTTATTGTGTCATGTGATTATTTTTCATCTGACTTCGCTGTCAGCTCTGTGGTTGTTCTGCTAACATCTCCGGACAAGGCTCGAAGCGGGACCAAGCTAAAGGCTAGTTAGCTCGCTCTCCACACAGCAGTTCTGACAGCTCAGGTTAGTGACATAAATCCCGCTGGGAAGTTAATAGTTTGCTCTAAACGTGTTTGTTATCAGAGGTGGTAGAATAGATTGTAATCAACAGATTATTGTAGTTCCTTTAATAATATAATTTTACTCAAAAATGAACCAGTCATCAAAATGACTGGAGTAAATAATGTCAGGTTCACAACAAATCTTCATGTAATGTAAGAACAGTAACATTACATTCACCTTCAGCAGGCCCAGCAGATTTAAACCAGACTCCGCTCAGTGAAGTAACTATAAGTAACTGTTGCCAAGTAATTAGAGGTACTTCATATTAATATTAGTCAAGTAAAGGACAGGGGGGTACGTTTTAAAAGTGTCTCTAGTAAATGTAACTGCATACTTGTTAGTATTTTGGCTTAACTTGTTCTTCTGTTTGGGCTCGAGAACGTCTTTGTAAAGTTTTAGTTTGACAGCAGCTTTTCCTTCTGTAGATGTAGTTTAATGTCCTTCCAGTTTTACCTGTTTTTACGCTGATTGGTCAATAGTTCATTTTCACTCTTGACTTGAATACAGTGTGAACTCTTAACATTCAGGATAGTTTGCAAATTAAAATCTCCTGCAAAGTTTTATAATGAAAATGTACAAGAACAAAAATTGATATAGCAGTTATTTTCTTTTTGGCCAGCTCTTCATTTCACAACAGTTGCAGTACCAAGCAGTGTGCATACAGCAAAGTAGTTTTTTCATAAACTAAGAGGGTTCTTACACATGATGGCTTGACTGGATTATTATCGGAGCACTCACCTTGAGCCATGTGGGTGTTCTTAGCCTTGAAAACTACTGCTACGCCAGGTGCAGTTTGATGTGGTATGTATGTCGATGTGTGGTACTGGTGGTGTGTTTGCATTTGGCACACTGTCACGTACATTTTATCAATCAGTCGTCCATCATCTAATCCTGATTGTGGTCATACATGGAAACTTTATTAATTTAACTACAGCAACATATCAGATCACAAACCCAACTAAATTATATCATGTTGATGTTCTTCTTGGATCCACATATGTATGATATTGATGATTAAAAACTACAGTGTACAGTGTAAAGCAAATAATGATCTTGGTAAGTTGATATAGTAAATGGAAAACGAACTGTGTGTGTATAGCACCTTCTTAAGTCTAATTTATACTTCTCCGTCAGCTCCAACAGGGAGAGACACGCACGGACGGAGACATTTTGCCCTCATACTTCTCCGTCTCCTGGGGAGTGTTGCAAAGCAATTCCCCGCCAGGACAGCAGAGGGCGTAGCGCTGTTCTGTGGTATCCTGTTCATGTACCCGGTCCAAGATAGTCTGTTTGTATTGCGTTTTATTTATTTTTTTTGTATTTAAGAGAATCTTTAACGCGGACAAATTTGTCCCTCATTCTCCTCCACCTCTTCTTACACTCGCCACCTCTAAACCCACGTTTTCCATCATTTCCGTCCATGAATAAAATTCTTGCTTGCTTTTCTCTCCTCCAGTCACGGGGGAATAAAACATTCATATTTTAGAGTTTTTCCTCGAGGTATTCTTCAAGCTGCTCGATGTCTGCGCTAGACATCCTCGGCTCTCTTTGTTTTTGAAGGCGCAATGGCAACAGTGCCCTGACCAATCACAAGCTTGCGTTCTCCGTCTCCACGGACGGATGTTTAGAAAAGAGAGCTAGACTCTGTCCGTCCTTCCGAGGGCTCTCCAGCAGGCCCACATGGAGAGATTAGTCGAATAATCGTCAACCAAACTGGCGATTAGTCGACTATTAAAATAGCCGTTTGTGGCAGTTAGGGGTTGTATGAACTAGTCGACTAGTTGACTTCACGGCTCTGTAGTGACTTTTTATGCCTGTCATCGACTAGTTGCTGTCACGTGATAATGACTGACAAGATGCAGTCCTCGAAAAAGACAGCAGGTGATGAGCCCCTGCGCATCGGGAGGCGGGGGCGACGCGCTGTGCCAGAGCGTCGGTACTGACACCGGCGGTAAAACGGACATTTAACCAAACTGTGACCTTTTCTCTCTTGCAATTTTACCTTCCCCTCACCCCCATCCTAATCTTAACCAGTTTGCTCTGATCGTTGACGCGCTCCAGACATCTGCGTCCTGAGCACCGCCTAATCAGGTGTCACCACCTCAAAAACAAATTAAACACGCGATCGTTCATGTCGGCTCATTTCCTTTAATGTTTTCTGTCTGTTATTTGTGCCTGATGCGTTTCGCTGCTGCGGAGCGAGGCGCATCACCTGTTTTGTCCCCCGGTGACGCACCCCCAAAATTCCACTATCTCCGCTCCGCTCCGGCACGAACTCCGCAGCAAAAACGGTCCCGTTGTAGTTGGCCGGCGAGCAGCGGCTCTCTGCTGTTTTTGCGGTCGGCAGATCTTTTAGAACTGCAGTTCAAAGGTAACTCATAAGGTGAATATTTATGAACCCAGGTAGCAGTTTTTCTTTAGGATTGAGAGGAGATGCAGGAAGATAATAAACAGGCAGGACAGAAAAATAGTCAAATAAAAACAAGTTAGTTTTTGTACCTGCTGGTTGCAACAAACAGACACCATTGAAGGTAATCAGAAGTGAGAAACAGAAAATGAAATAATTATTTTAATGTTTAGAGCAGCAGGAACTCCGAGAGGCTGCAGGCGCATCAGTGAGTTTGCGGCTGCTGCGCAGGGGGAGGGGGGAGAGGGCTGAAGCAGGGGGAGGGGGGAGAGGGCTGATGTAGGATGCAGAAACTACCGTTGTTAGAAGAGATGTTTAACTTAGAAAGTGTGGGAGCAATTTTAATTGTCAAAAACTCCAGCGAACCTACCCCCCCCCCCCCCCCCCCCAGTGCCACTTCAGGTGTATGACGTCATCAACGACTAGTCGAAGTCGACTCGATTTTCATTACTTGACTGTCGACTTTAAAAAAAATTAAGCCATGCAACCCCTAGTGGCAGCCCAACTCCCCACAATCCTGATGAGAAGACCATCCACCTACTCTTACCGGTGAGCGTAATCGCTTGCAATGCCTCAAGCACCGCTGCACTGCAACGCTCAGTCTTTTTGTGTATTATAGGGGTCGTTCCATCGAACGTCCTATGTCGGCCCAACGCCTTTTCACTGCTTGTGTTTGGCATTTTTACTCGCTTGTGCTTCATCAAGGTGTAGCTCCCTGATAGGCTGAGAGGGCATTCCACCAGGGTTTTGTTTTGCCCTCTTCTACGTCGCTGAACAGTGGTATGTTGATATAAAACATCTGCCTGGCTGCAGCTTGGTCTTCCACTGTTTGCTCAATTATTACTACTGTAATTATTACTACTTCAGCATCCATTTTTCACGCCATGCTTGGAACCTTGATGGGCTGATTGGGATGTGCTGTGGCAGCACACCTACCTACTTTCCCACTGCAAATGATTATGTTGCATGCTGACATATTTGAGTCATGTGCCTCTATCATCATCCCTGATGGCCTTTCATTATGGCCCCATTACTTTGGTTTCCACTGGGACTTGGCACACTGGTCACCTTCCTGTGAGAATGAGATCCAAGATCATCCAACTAACAGAATACGTAGAACGCTGGAGTGTAAACACTTTGCCGCCATATTGGATGGATCCCTCACTCTTTAACCCTCACACGGTCTTTATGGGTGACCTCGCGAGGAAATTTGACCCTTGAGCAGGATTCATGGTTTATCCCTTGAAGTCCACGTGGCAGGGATGAGGTGGTGCTCACTCCTCACCCCTGCCACATGGACCCAAGGGATAAACCATCAACCCTGATCAATGGTCAAATTTCCTCGCGGGGTCACACCCATTAGGACAGTGGGAGGGTTAAAACCTAATTGGAGTCCATGCTGAGTGAGTAACTATGCCTGTTTTTGTGCAGTCTACAGTTCCAAGAACGGTATGCTATTGAAAACCGATTAATTGGGATTGCTATTTCATTTTCTAGCCCAATAAATGCACTGGGTGTCACTGATGAGCCATTCAATATGGCAACCTGCATTTACCAGCACCAATAGAAAGCCATTGCCCATGTCGCCTCTACGTTTATACGATCTAAACTCTATGCTTCTCATATTCATTGTCTGTTGTGGAAATTTATGAACATGGTGTCCAGACAAACAGGAGTTTGTACATCCCCAACATACACAAACATAACCATCGTTAAACTAGTTGAATTGGTGTTACCTCAGCAACTAAAAATAACCGGAGTCGAGCACTCCAAGTTCTCTAAGTTTTCCGTGAGGTACGTAATGAGTCACGTGACTCCAAAACCGCACGTTTTTCAGGGAAGCCTGCTCACTTCCCTTGATTTAGTATTTTTAAACACCTGCTAGTTATCTGAAAACCTGGAAGGAAGACCAAAGTATCGTTTTGACCTTAGATGATGTTTTTCTACCATTTTAAAGAACATTAAAGATGCACTTTAAGGTCTTTTTATGTTCACAATGCTAGTTGGATCCATTCACTTTCTGTGTTTTACGCTAAGCTAAAGCTAAGGGAGTACACCTGGGTCAGGAGAATGACTGGGCTGGTTACAAATGGTTTTATCCCACTTATCCAACTCTGGGAAATATGTCAACAGACAAATTTAATTTAGGGTGGAATATCCCTTTAAAACCTTTACTTATAAAGTCCTCTACTACACTGAGGTGGAGCCATTTGAAACTCTGAAATCTCTGAAGAATTCACAAAACTTCAAATGGATATTTTTAACCGTGCTGAATACGTTAAAAAGCTGAATCAAACAGAAATAGGCTTGTTTAAACCCGCAAAGATCGACCGCTAACAGTAAGCTAGCTGCAGTCAAAACTATGACTAACCGGTTACACAATTAATTTAATAAAACTCGCTACATGAAAAACCATTACTGACTTATGTTGGTCCGAGGCAGTCAGCTAACACTTCACAGTGCCATCGTGTTTTTTACCGGAAGGAAAAAACTCTGAAACAGAATGAACAGCGTTCAATGTTGGAACAATTGGGAGCTCCATGGCTGATGTTACTTTCACATTCAGTCTTTTTATTGAAACCTATGGGAGTGTCTGAACTCTGCATCTTAACTGGTAACCGTATCCCACCCCACTGGTCTCTCGGCATTTTTGGGATCAGATGGGTTATTTTTAAGCAGTTTTCTAATGAGAAAAATCTACAAATTCTCATTAATAAAGGAAAACCCTCGCCCTATTTTCAAATTCTGTGTGTGACAGAACCGATCATCCAGCTCAGCTGAATCTACAGCTGCAGAGATACTGGCAAGTGATCATGGTCCTAGGTTTTCTTTTGGTTTTGTATAATAGGCTAATAATAAAATATAGATGTCATGGTATTCGTATAGTCCTACAACCGGCCCTTTAATGCTGATGTGGGCCTCAGGGAAAATGGGTTTTGTAAAGTTGGAATGTAATGTAAGTTTCTGGTTTGAGCCTTTTATCCATCCAGGTTAGCAGAGAAACGGATGATTGAGCTGATAAAAACATTCTGAGTCAACTAATGTGCTGAATTCAGCAGATGAGAGATTCAGTTAGAGCCATTATTGATGAGTTTCTCATGTTGGTTATGTGTAAATGCACTCACATTCATACAGTACATGTGCTGAAGACGTGATGAACTGGGTT